GGAGAGAGAGAGAGAGAGAGTGAGAGAGAGAGGAGAGCTGTGAGGGTTTAGGGGGAGGGTAATCGGAGTGTTGGGTGTGCACAAGCGCTCTGCATCTGCCACCTCCTCGAGTCTCTCTATAAGCTGAGACAGCCGCGTTAGCAGCTGACGCACGCACGCACGCACGCACGCGCACGCGCACGCGCACACACACGCACACATACACGCTCGCACAGGCACGCGCACACACACACTCACACACGCACGCACACACGCGCGCGCGCACACACACACACACACACACATACACGCGCACACACACGCGTTCTGATGGATGAATATGAAATTCTTTGAATCGTTGACAACTAAATGGAGCTAACAATAGGTGCAAGAGTTGTAGCAGTATATCGAGTATCAAAGCAGCCCTGCAGGGGATCCAGGCAATTTTTTCTACGACGTAGCGCAGGCGCGCTGGCAGAAACCTCGTGGGTTGCTTGGGAATAGCAAGCGGACTGTAATGATACAAGCAGACTGTAATGATGTACTCAAATGATACAAGCAGACTGTAATGATGTACTGTAATGATACAAGCAGAGACTGTAATGATGTAATGTAATGATACAAGCAGACTGTAATGATGTACTGTAATGATACAAGCAGACTGTAATGATGTACTGTAATGATACAAGCAGACTGTAATGATGTACTCAAATGATACAAGCAGACTGTAATGATGTACTGTAATGATACAAGCAGACTGTAATGATGTATGGGACACATGCTGTTATGTCGTCTGCTCGGGGGCGGCTGCTCTATACTGCACACACAAACCTACGCTCCCCACACCACACACTCTTATACGGATTGTGTTACCCCCCTCAACCACCCACACCACCCCCATTAGTCATGTAAAAGTGAAAAAGTAAAAGCAAAAGAAAAAAAGCTCAAAATAATTAGCAATTAGTAAAATTAATTAGTTGGGTACCTATTAGTTGGGCGTTTTATTTGTCGTATAGCAGTACATACAGGGGGGCGCAACTGTTTCCGTGCTGTCGCAGCTGGCACACGCATATCTCTGCGTTCTGTCAAGCATTGCTGCGTGGTGTCGTGGGTGGGAGCGCGGGGAATTCATCCATGACTAGCCGTGAGCTTCTCCTAGGGGCACAGATACACCTACCCTGGTTTTTACACCTCTCCCCTGGTTTTTACTATACCGATAACTCGCGGCTGAAATTGAAGCATAAATGGTTTTACAGGAGGCAGACATCTGTCTTGACTTTGGCTTCTCCTTCCACATCGCGCGGAGGATGCACAGCCTCCCGCGGTTCTGCCAATCATGCTGCTGCTGCTGCTGATGCTAATGCTGCTGATGCTGATGCTGATGCTGCTGATGCTGCTGCTGCTGCTGCTGCTGCTGCTGCTACTGATGCTGCTGCTACTGTTATAACTACTGCTGGTGGTACTGCTGCTGCTGCTACTGCTACTACTACTATTGTTGCTGCTACTGCTACTGCTGCAACAGTATTAGCACCAGAAGCAAATAAGGTGTATTATGTCACAATGATGCATCCACCATGACATGTAGACCATGCTAGATCAGTGCTTTGATTCTTACAACAGGGATACTAGGATGCGGAGTCTCAGTGCTTTGATTCTTACAGGAGCTCGTGTCGCAGCCTGGGAACCCGAAATTCGTCGACGACATCGAAAAAGATCTCCACAGGCAGTTTCCATTCCACGAGATGTTCGCAGCGCGTGGCGGCCATGGGTAAGTCAGCCGGTTGGTCGCCCATGGCCACCCTCTCCACCTTTAAACACACAGCTAGCAAGCACTGCTAGGTTGGCCCACCCACCTTCTCCACCCACCCTCCCTCACACAGCCCCCACCCACACACACCCTCCCTCCCTCACACAGCCCCTCCCACACACACACCCTCACACACACACCCTCTCTCACGCACACACACACCCTCCCTCACACACACACACACACACCTTCCCTCACACACACACCCTCCCTCCCTCACATTGGGTAAGACAGACTGGCGACAGACCGACGACGAGGGCAACCGAGACCAGCATTTCGCCGATTCGGATTGTAACCCAGTACGGCAGTGGAGGACTACCTCCTTGCTCCCACTTATCCCCCAACACACCCGGGATGCTGGGAACTGCACTGAGAATCTACCCGACTGAGTTTCTCTCCAATTCCGAAAAAGCCTGTAGCATTAGTCTTGACATATTTCTCGTAGACTAGACCTCTATACGCTGCGCATGAGAAATTCGTAAATTTGCCGTGTCTCTGGCAACTGTCGACGAGAAAAAGTTAATGTTAAGACTAATGTTGCGACAGAGAATTCTTTCTATGACAGAAGATTAGTATAAGTGAACATGTTGCAGCTCCCCACCCCCCGCGCTGTTTCTCCCCCTCCCCCTCCCCTCTCCTGCACCAGCCGCGACGATTTGTCACGACCCGCCACGGCCGTGACGGGCCGGACGTGAGTAGCTGGTAGCAGCCGTCAGTGAAGCTGAGTGACGTGTAGCTCTGCCAGCCAGCCACGTGGCGTGCGGCGCTGATCGCTAGCCCTGGCTGTCGTGCCGAGAGTCGGGAGAGAAGCCTAGAGTCGGGAAGAAAAGTCGGAGAGTCAGGAAGGGAAGTTGGAAGGTTAAAACGTGGTCCTCGGGCTGAGTGCCAGGAGCGATGCGCTAACCGGAGCCTGATTGATTGATTGATTGATTGATTGATTGATTGATTGATTGATTGATTGATTGGTTGGTTGATCTGTGATAGCTCGGTCGTGCTATCTGTCGATCCCGTGTTTAGATGCGCAGACGTTTTTTACAGACATGCGTGTGTGCGTGCGGGTGTGCGGGTGTGCGTGCGTGCGTGCGTGCGTGCGTGTGTGCGTGCGTGCGGGTGTGCGTGCGTGCGTGCGGGCGCACGTACGTGCGTTGCGAGCTTGTTAGTGCGGTCTAGGCACCCGGTATTTGTGGTTGAGTCGGAGAGGCCGCTCGCTGATGCACCCGCGTGCATATGTCATGACCTGTCATGAGATTCCGAAGCGCCTGGGAGAGAGGAGAGAGAAGGGGAGAGACGGCGAGAGAGAGCGAGAGCGAGAGAGAGAGAGAGAGAGAGAGAGAGAGA